ACATTTTGAGATACGGGTATCAAAATGATCACTGAAAAATTCTCTTTCGAATGATACCCGTATCTCAAAATGTGTAAAAAAAGTCATTTAAGCGGCTTTGTTTGCGTGTCCCAGAAGTGAGCGGTTTTGTTGGAGGGTTGCAGAGGTAAGCTGGTTTGTTTCCAGTCCGCGGAGGTAAGCGGTTGTTCTTCTCAGGTGTCGCATTGGCCGCCCCGCCCCAAAGTTGTTACTTCCCCGGAGATGTCCCACTCGCCTCTCAGCAGGGCGTAGCGGCAAGTAATGAGGCAAAATAAGATGATGGGTGGGAAACACGGCCATAATTCAGGATCAGTATCCCCCCCACCCCCAGTGTTTTTTTTTTTTGTTTTTTTTTTTAAATTCAATAATAATTGTCAATACTGAATTGACAATACTGGGTCATGCTGGTTGGTGACCACTATGTGGTCATCGGTGACCATCGTCAACGCTACCTATTTAGCTGTTGTACAATCAGTGATATACCTGAAGTATCATCTGCTAAAAAATGGCCACTTTTGCGTGCGCCCGAATTTCCTCTTCGGAATCGCAATAATAATATTATTTTCGGGGTATTCACGACGGTTGCGAAAGTTTGGTACGCTTTCGACGTGACTTTTGACAGCGCTGTTCTTACTAGCTGTGGGGTCTGGCCGCTGCAGCAGCCGAGCTGCGCCTCCTCTGTTGGTTGGGAGCGAGGCTGGGCGGTACAATCATCATGGGATGGCGGGGTGGGGGAGGAAGTAGTTGTGATCCATGGCCGCAGTCAATACGCCCTTCAGGCAGGAGAGAGAGGGGGGGGGAGTGACATTGGACATCGGCGACAGTGGGCGACAGCCCTTCCACCCTCTCCCCTCCCCGTGAATGCAACAAACCTTCCACCACCGACCCACATCACCCCACCATGTACTGGGGGGTTTGTCTGCTAAATCTAGCCAGCCAACTGGAAAACCTGTGATATCGCGTTGCGGTCTATTCACACTTTTTGTTCGTGTGTACTACTATAATGTGTGTGTGTAGGAGCAAGGGCAAGAGAGGGAGAGAGAGAGAGAGAGAGAGAGAGAGGGGGGGGGGAGGGAGAGAGGGAGGGAGGGAGACCCCCTCCCCACCCTTCGGCTTGCCGCTCTGCTGGTATGTGGTGGAGAGCCCTTTGGTCGGAGCCCTATTTCTATTCTATCGCGTCCCATCCCTCGGTTTTTCTGTACGTTTGCGAGCGGCGTCCCCTCGCCTTTCACGTAATGAGAGCGGAGTAGAGAGAGAGAGAGTGAGGGAGAGGGGGAGAGTGGGGGGAGGGGAGAGAGGGGGAGGGCTCAAGGGAGAGCCCCCCTTGTCGGCCCTTGTACACGTCGAGGAGGAAGACGAGACGGACGGACGGCGAACGGTGGGCAACTTAAAAGAAGTATACCCGCACGAACAACTAGGGGAAGCCGAGTCGTGTGTTGTCGCAGTGTAAATATGTTTTAACCAAATAACAAAACTGCTGCATTTCACAACAGTTTCAAACCGTGTGTTCCAGGAAGCGAAGATTCGAAATGCATGCAGAGCGGGCATGCAATTCCGCAACACAGCAGTGTGTTATCGCTTTGAAACACCCGGTACACTTCTAGTTTTGAAATGAATGTGTTTGTATGGGTAGTGGGGGGGTGGAGTATTTGGGGTCGTCCACGTCTACTGCGGAGCGCGGCAGGTGCGAGGACCGGGAGGGTAACTACTAGTCACTCTAGAAACTATCCAGGCGATTGTTTAGGAAGTATATTCATCAAGTGGGGCTGTAACTCGAGTAACCCCCGGGCCCTGGTGGTGGTGGTGGTGGTGGTGGTGGTGGTGCCTCGGCTGGTGGCCCCCGCCGGACCTGGAGCCGGGCCGGGCGGGGGCGGCTAGGGCCAGCGCGAGCAGGAGCGCGTCCTTTAAGACTTCATTAATTAGTACACCAGGAGGGAGCGGCGGGACGGGGCGGGGCGGGGGCCTTTGCTGAAAGAGAACCCCACGGCAGCGCTCTTCGCCGCCCCTTTGGCCCCTCCCCTCCCCTCCCCTCCCTTCCCTTTACCTAACCTCCCACGCGCGTTTATGTTCGGCCCCGACAGCTCGACAGCCATGACGGCGGCGGCGGTGGCGGCGGCCCGGCCACCATCAGCCCTCCAAAGAAAGCAAAGTAAAGCTGGGCCTGGCTAACCTGTGGTGTGGTGATGTAGACAGGGAGAGGGTCGTCACACAGTAACAAAGTTTGCTCACTTGGCTATATAAACCTAAAGTGGAGGCAGAAGGCCACGCTGCTCTGCTCTGCCTCCCAACAAGCGAAATCCTCAAAATCTCAGCAACAGAGCGTGCGCCCTGGAAAGTATCTACAAAACTATAAAATTCTCGCAATTTTGATATTTTACACATTTGGCTGACAGTTGGCGGATGAATTCCGCAGTTTCCTTTGCAAACCAGCTTGTGATATTTATTTGTGAGAGGAAGACATAATACGGTTTTTGCCGTGTGAGCGCGCGACTCGGTGGCTGACAGCGCGCACGCCCCGACCCCCGCCGCCGTCAAGCGGGCCCGCCTCCAGCTCTCACCCCTCGCCATCAACCCCACAATCTATTAATACGATTCACTTCCATCCGTAGCGCCAGCAGCATCCACTGTAAAAACATATATCGAGAGTGGTTTCATACGGCTAACTTTTTTCATACAAAGGGGTCGGAAGGTGACAAATCCAAACTGTAAAATTAGAAAACACTCACATTGAATATAAATTTCTCAATGCATTGACTTATTGTTTTTGTTATCGTAAATTCACGACATGGTTAGGAACATGGAAAAATTATCGCTAATGTTTTAGTTACTCATTTAATAAAAGTTACATTTTTCCCCCGCGTCGTGTGTGTTCTCTTTCGCGCGCTGCTTTCTCTCATTCGCAATGACGGGCCAAGGTCAGCAGGGGAGGGGCTCCACGCCGCCGCACACCGCAGCAGCAGCAGCGTGCCCCGCACGTGGCGACCCGATGTACCCCGCGACCCTTCCGAACCGCGACCGACGAGTCGTCGTTGTTCGAGAAATTGTCGCGAACGTAAATTCCAACTCGGTCCGCTCTCAAACACACCAGGTTGGAAACGTTGGAAACAAACACAGAAACGCCAACGAGTAGCGAGTTCCTCGAAGCGTGCCGCCATTATTAACGAGGGCCTTTGGATGTGGAGTAGCTGCCCTACTCCACCGGTGCTGCCGCTGCTCTGGTGGGTCAAAGGGCCTGATGCACACCACCAGAGCAACGCTCTGCAACCCGACGACCTCGGTCTGCGCGACCTGAGCGCGCGGGCTCGCGGGCTGGGGGTGGGGGTGGTACACAGATAGACACACACACTGGAGGCTGCAAGTGTGCGAACATCGCACACCTGCAGATATGTGAATGACCATTCACACACTTGGAGGAGAGTACATGGCCCGAATTACAAGGTAAAAACAATGTCTCATATTTTGATGGAAAAGGGATAACTTTGAGGAATTTCGCTGGTTTGACAAAAACTCTTCATATTTTGAGGAAGTCTCCTCAAAAAATGTAGGATTTTTCCTTATTTTTTGAGAAGATTCCCTAAAATCTGAGGCGAGATCGGAGGACTCTTCCTCAAACATGGGAGTTCCTCAAAGTTTGCCCTTTTCCGTCAAAAAATGAGACATTGTTGTTAACGTGTAGCTACCGTTACAAGACGAATATCTATATGCTCACCTACAATGGTGTGGACATTTTGTCGCACACCTGCAGTTTGTGTGAGTGTAAATATTTTGTAACACTCCTGCACGAGTGTGAATCTTTCACTTTACATGCAGGTGTGTGACATTCGTACACTTGGATTATTTTCAGTGCACATGACGTAAGAATACATCGCAATTATTATTGTATACATACCGGACTCTGTCATCCGTCTCTAACCGGTGGGAGAAGTTAATCAAGCACGGATCCAG